AGATTAATTTCTCTAATTATTATGATGGCAAAGCAAAATATGCCTCTCAGAGGCTCTTGTGACAAAGTCTATCGTGATAATAATGGAAACTTTTAAAAAATTTTAGAATTTTTGGCTGAATTTGATCTAGTTATGGAAAAACATTTGTTTAGAGCAAAAAAAAAACCAAATTCTGTGCACTATTTGGCAAAAGATATTCAGAATGAAATCATTGACTTGATTGGCAAATCCATTAAATTTAAAATTTGCTCAAATTTCCAAAAGTGTCCGTGTATTTTTCAATTAATGTTGATTGTACACCAGATATCAGTCACCAGGAGCAAATGTCAATGCTGGTACGATATAGAGGATAAGGATGCTGGTACGATGTAGAGGATAAGAACGAAATTCACATTAATGAAAGTTTTATTGGATTTCATTTAATTGAAGGTTCGACAGGTCTAGATTTATCAAATGAGATTATTGACTCTCTGGTAAAAAAAAACTTGTCGGTAAAAAACATAAGAGGTCAGAGCTATGACAATGGTGCAAATATGAAAGGTGTAAGAAATGGTGTACAGGCTTTAATTCTAAAAAAAAAAAACCGAGCGGTTTATATTCCATGCTGCAGTCACACATTAAATCTGTGAGATGTTCACCTAAAATTGCAATGTTTTTCAATATAATTGATCAAGTTTACAATTTTTTTTCTGCTTCAACAAAAAGATGGTTAATTTTGCAATCAAAGTGTCCATCTTTAACAGTTAAACCGTTAAGTGATACAAGATGGGAAAGCCACATCAATGCTGTAAAAACACTTCGATTTGAAATGCCAAAAATTTATGAAGCACTGCAAGATGCAGCTAAGACCGCTAATGAAACAATTGCAAAAATCACAGCAGAGTCTATTGCTTTAAAAATAACAAGCTTTGATTTTTTGTGTTCGACCGTAATTTGGCATAAAGTTTTATTCGAAATTAATTTGACTAGCAAACAACTTCAAGCAGCTTCAACGAATATTTCAGAGGCTTTAAAAGCAATGGAAAGAACGATTAATTTTTTTAAGGAAAATTACAAACAGGAAAAATTTGACTCTGTTGTGTGTATTGCACAAGAACTTGCTTCTTTTTTAAAGGTAGAAGAAAGTTTTGCATCAGAATCTGCTTCAAGAGTAAGAAAAAGAAAGAGATTCTTTGATGAACCTGAACAAAACTTTGAAAAACAGTTATGTCCAAAAGAAAAGTATAAACAAGATGTTTATAATAAAATATTTGAATGTGCTACTATTGCAATAGAAGAGGGATTTAATGATTTTAATGCTGGCATTGCACCTTTTAGCTTTTTATTTGATATTAAAAAGCTCTCAACAGTCAAGGAAGATGATTTAAAATCTCATTGCATTGCCTTGGAACAAAAAAATAATTTTAATTGAATTTTGGGGAATCAAAACTCTACGTAATTGCATCGTTTTTAAATTAAAAATATATATTTTTGCCCTTAATTTATCATATATTTTAAGATTGAATTTATTTAGTAATTATTGTTAAGCATTATTGGTTATTAAGCATTAGCGATGCATTTATAAATGGCTTATTCATCAACATTATACGCTGATGTTTACTAGAGAGCAAGACATTAGACCTTTCATCAACCAAGCTAGATCTTTAGTTGTGGCCCAACAAAATTCAAAACTATTCTCCCAATGGACCATACCTATCTCTGCCTCTATTTAGGAAATCAAATCAGCCTTATGAAAACAATCCACAACTGATGATCACTTAGCTGCTACAATAAAACTAAAACAATTGTGCTGGTTTTGTGGAAACATACAATATCCACGTACTTAATGTCCTGCTCGTGAAGCTATCTGCCACGGTAAAAAAATTGGTTATTTTGAAAAACTTTGCAGATAATCCAATGTTTCTGCTGCTATTCCTAAAATTGATGATGATTACTTCTGTGTTGCCATATCAGCTTAAGCAAATTCTCTCTTCAGAGTCAGTCACAGCGTTATTTTTAACGATAAGTATAAAGCTGAAGCTTTAATTAATAGTGGAAGTAAAAACAAAAGCTTCATTAACCATATCTAGTGTCTCTACTCAATTTAGATGTTATTTATGACCAGATTGTAATCGCAATGGCATCATCTTCTTTATCAGTAAAATCAGATGGGTATTGTAATGTCTCAATAACTCTTCAAAACAAAATCTATTATAAAATCAAGTTGCATGTGCAAGATAACTTATGTTTAGATATTATTTTTGGTACAGATTTTCAAGAGTTGCATGAGAGTATTACCATTAAATATGGTGGGAAAAGACTACCCATAACATTTGCTGCTATAACAATAATGAAAAACGAACCTCCTGAATTGATTGTTAATCTCATGAAAGATTGTTGACCTATTGCCACTAGATCTAAAAATTATACTCAAAAGATAGAGAACTTATTAAATCTGAAATCCACCGTCTGGTTCAAGCAGGAATAATAGAGCCAAGTAAGTTACTTTGGTGTGCCTAAGTCTTAGTAGTAAATGAAAAGACTAAACGCCATATGATAGCTGATTATTCTGAAATTAGTAATAAGTACACCCAATTGGACGCATATCCTTTACCTAAGATTGAAATGATTGTAAGCATAATTTCCAAATACAAAATGTATAGTCCTCTCAACCTTCGCTCAGGATATTACCAAATACCTTTATCCAAAAGAGATTGAACATATACTGCTTTCGAAGCTAACAATAAGTTGTGGCAATATAATATAATGCTTTTTGGAGTTACTAATGGATCTGCATATTTTCAATGCAAAATAGATGACTTTGTTAAAACACATGAACTAACTGATTGCTTTACTTTCATTGATAACATTACAATAATTGAAAATAATCAGAAAGAACAAAATGAAAATCTGCTTAAGTTCAGATTAGCTGCCATTGATGCTGGAATTACATTTAATGAAGAGAAATGTGCATTTTTAACTGAGAATTTAGATTTTTTAGGTTAGTGTATATTTTATGGCTCTTTAAAGTCTGATCCTCAGAGACTTGCTTCTCTCATTAAGTTACCTCCACCTGATAATGCAAAGTCTTTACATCATTTATTGGAATGTTCTTGAACTGTGCAAAATAGATAAAAAAGTTTTCAGATAAAATTAGACCTCTGAACTCTATTATTCCCACTCAACCAGCAGCAAATATCAGCATTTGAAACATTAAAAAAGGAGCTTGTACAATCTTCCATGCAAACCATTAATGAGAATATACCTTTTACTGTAGAGATTAATGGTTCTGATTTTACCATATCCACCACATTTAACCAGGATAGAAGGCCTGTAGCCTTCCATTCATGTACCCTTCAAGGGAGAGGATAATACAATTTATCAGTGTTGAAAGAAGCTCAAGCAATAGTCGAAATCATAAATCATTGGCGCCGTTTTCTTCTGGGTCGACATTTCATTCTCACTACTGATCAATGGTATGTGGCATTTATGTATGATTATAAATCAATAAGTTCAAAATCATTATACGAGTTTAAACTTATTGCTGCACATCTAAAAAAAAGGTCCATTACCTTCTTCAACCCCTGAAAAATATATGCTAACAATTGTAGATGAATACTCTCATTTTTCCTATGCATATCCTGTAAAAGATATGACAATTCAGACAATAATTAACTGTTTAGCTGATTTTTTTTCCATGTTTGGCATGTCTAGCTATGTTCATTCTAATAGCGGATCCTCATTAATACCTTATGAATTAAAGCACTGGTTCTTATCAAAAGGGATTGCAACTAGCAGAAATAGTAGAAAACAATCTGAATCCTATAAAGCTAATGAACATTCTTTCTCAAAGATCTTCAAGAATTTTTAAAGCACCAGAAAAACTTAACTTATAAATACACCTTAACACTTTTAAGAAGTATATATATATATATATATATATATATATATATATATATATATATATATATATATATATATATATATATATATATATATATATATATATATATATATATATATATATATATTGTTGACCACGCAAATGGTTTTATTTTTTGACAACTTGACCACGATTGTTTATATGTTTTAAACATTTTAGAAATGCGCTGAATGTAGAAATGCTAAGCTAAGCTTAAACTAGAAAAAAAAGTTTAAAATTTTAACATTGTTGTATGTAATTTTTATTAATTTCAAGCTTTAATTACTAAGTTTAGTTAAAAAAAAGGTTTAAACTTTTTTTATAGGGAAAAAAAATAAATAACAAAAAGCGCCTGAGATTTAAATAAAATAAACCACCAACAAGCAATATAATTTGAGCATTACAACTTTATTAATAAGCACTCTACGTAACAAATTCAAAAGTTATTATAAAAAATATAACTTTTGTTTAAAAGATTTTTATTAATATTTTTTATTATTAAGTTTTTTGTATAACATTTTTTATTAATTAACACATGCGTTTAAGTAAACAATCATTATAATTAACTTTATGGTTTTATCTAAAGTCTTGCGTAAAATAAAAACTTTAGAAAAGATTAACGATTAAATGTTATTCATAACCTAACACTTTCTTTTATTGCATTGAAATTGTTGAAACATCAAAATTGCCGTGGTCAAATTGAAAAAAAAAAGCAATATTAGCGTGGTCAGTTACAGAGTGCGATCGCACGCCATTCCTGTCCAAGCCTATATATATATATATATATATATATATATATATATATATATATATATATATATATATATATATATATATATATATATATATATATATATATATATATATTATATCAATATATTTATGTATACATATAAGTATTATATTATACTATGTATACTTTATGTATTTTGTTATTTTGTTAGAGACTAATATTTATTACACACAGGAATTTTACAACCCATATTGCTGGAATAATTTTTTAATAAATTAAATAGTTATAATTGTGTGAAAGAATAAATACAAACTTTTATAACATAACTATTAACAAATGTAAAATCATATATCAAAAATAACCTACGAAGAAGACTTTGGTCCCTTATTATAAGAAGGCTTGTAAGAACATGAACTACTGTTAACCCATTGTGGCTGCACTATGCTACCAGTTTTGTTTTGATAAGAACATGCTTGTGCTATCTCTTTTGATGAACGTACACTAAATGCAATATAATGTATACATTTTACTGTGGAATTAAGTTAACATTTTTTGGCACTAACAAAATACTAAAAAACTGATATCTGAGGGATTTAGTACATACTTCAATTTTTAGGTTTAAGTTGGAGCAGGCTATATAATTTTATAGCTAAAAAAAATTTTGCTCAACTTTTTTTCCTAAAAATTTGTGTCTGCGATCAAATTTTTTAACTTGTCTGGGGCAAAAGTAATTTATCTAGAAAAAATCTCTGATATAAAGGAGAAGCTTGTAAGCCATGGATGGCAATCTTCCTGGTGGTAGTATAGCAATTAAAATATTTAGTCCTGATCAGCAAAACAAGTTAATGACAGAAAGAGCTTCCAGTTGTAATAAATTGCTTTAACCCTTGCATAACCTCATACTTAAACATAAAAAATGAGATCATAAAGTCACAGCTGTTTAAGCCACACAAAGGTGGAAACATGAAGGCAAGAGTTTGAAAAAATTAAAATTTATACTAATGGTGGGATAAGTATTAAATATTAAACCATTAGGGTTGACTAAAAGTAGGTATAGAGTTAGAGTTGCCAGATGTTCAGCTTTAAAAAATTAAGGTTTTTTCTGTGTTTTCTTAGTAAAAGACAGAGATCTGGCAAATTTACATTAGATAAATACCAATAAATACTAATAATGTCTATGGTTATTTCAGCTTTTAATTGATTGCTATCTATTATTAAAAAAAAAAATTATTCTTTTTTTTTTTGAAAACAAATTTGAATTAAATTTTAAATAAATTTTAAGATTTGCAAAGTATACAATTATCAAAAACTATCAGTACAATAAAATAGGGTAGCTTAACCATACGGAGTGACTTTGCCCATTTCGTTCTAATAGCGTGGAAGTGGTAATTCATGATTGCTAGAGTTCTAGCAATCATGAATTCTTCTTATTTTTTAACTGTTTCTAAAGAAAAAAAAAACCCACTAAAGGAAAACTGCACTGACAGTAGTCCCAGAATCAAGAAACTACATTTGTCTTTGATCTAGAATGGTTGCTTTCTAATAAAAAGAACAAACTGTCAGATCTTGTAATCCTCATAAATCCTGATTTGACCAAAAATAAATTATTGATACCGTTATTTAGTAAACGAAGTTCGATCAACATGACAAAATGACTATTTCAAAAAACATGTAAATCCAGTCCAGTCACTATAATAAAAATAAGCAATTTTATGCTTCTCTTGTAAAAATATTTCAAATGAATTTACAAAGTTTACAAGATAGATTGATGATATTTGACATTACCACCAACTGGCAATACTGATACAAAATCACAGAAGTTTAAAACAGAGAAAAGTAACCATATTTTATGGTAGTTGCTCTGCCAATTTTAAACCTCAGTTCCTGAATTTCATTAAATTTTCATAAGTGATGTTTTATGCTAACCAAAGACTTTGGCAAAGTACACAGTATAAGACATGAATTAAACATCTGTTATTTTCAAATGATCTGATCTTATATAGAAAACTATTCATTGGTTCTCACTGGCAACTATAAAGAAGGAAGGGGCAACTCAATTCTAAATAATGAGTCTATACAAACACTAGTGTTATTTAATAATGAGGCCTTATATTAGAACAAGACTATCAAATGTTTTACTATAAAAATTAGTGATTAGTAACTGGGTATTTAAAAATTAAATAGGAAAGCATTTTTTAAAAGTTGCTACATACTATTTAACTCTTCTTCATAGTTTATATAAACGAATTTATTCTTTAGGAAGATGTTGAAGCTTTCATAAAAAATATAAAAAATATTGAAAGATTGATAAATGAATTATTTTTTTAAAGTAAATAATTTTGATTAGCATGGCCCTAAAGAAGTTAGACCATATTCTAATAATTTTGATCAGCATATTCAAAATAACTTTGATTAGCATGTTCAAGAAGTTGGACTATATTCTACAGCAGCCAACGGCTAATCGCATCTCAGTTACAACATGTTTTATGAAAATATGTAAACAATCAAAACTTAGGTTTAACCATTTAAACTTTTAAAATAACAAATTTTACAAAAAAAGAAATGGATAGAAAAACTCTTGTCATAAATCGGTTTCTTTGATATATTTAATAACTCTATTACTATAGTTTTACTAAAAACATAAAAAATTCACTTGATATTTTAATAAAACTTATGGAGCATTACCAAGCCGTTCGGCCACACATCATTACAATATGTGGGCTCGTGACAGCGTCAAGTTAACACTCCCCAGTGGGCACGGATGTTTAAAAGACGTCTTTTAAACAACTTAAACACATTTTAGACGTCTTTTGAACGTCTTTTAAACGTTTTGGACGTCTTTTGAACGTTCAAAAGACCTGCTCACTGGGTCGAGCTTTAAATAGACGGATTCCCGGTTTGAATCTCAGGAATAAACGAGCTATATGTATATATACATGGACGTATAAGAGATATAACGTATAAAATCTCTTATACGTCTTTGGTATATGTAAACAAACTAAAAATTAAAAAAAAATTCAATTCGTCACAAAGCTCCCTAAGAAATGCTAAAAATAAATTCCTTTAATTAATTTGTTGTTTGTAATAAAAATCATACAAAGAGTATACTATTGTGTTGGATACTTATAGTGTCTACAGAAGGGGATTAGTCCGTTTTTTCAAGATTATAGTCGGCTACTTGGCGTTTGCCGATATAATCTTGAAAAAACCAACTATATTCTGTTACATTTCAAATATACAAGAGATGACAACATCTTATCACCCAGTCTGGCACACTTTGATCGCATAATTAATCCTCCTAGGCTAAATACTCGCTCTACTGGCACAGAAGAAGCTGAAATACAAAATAGTTTCTTTAGCAGAGGATTCATAATATTGTAATATTTAGCAGATTGCGCTTTCAATCAAACCACTTCTCCATATGTGCTCGATGTGATAATCACACAGTGGTCAGAAAGGCTTGAAAATGCGAAATAATTCAAAAATACTAATTTTGAAAAACGAACTAAATTTTATGCTAAATAATTCTTTAAACCTTCAAGAAAGTACACTTGAAAAATTTTTGCTGTTGTGCACTGAATTTTTGTATTTCGTCCCATTCAAAGAACAAGGGTTAAAAATCAAACTATTGAAACTGAAAAATGTCTTAATATTTTTACTGTTTAGGGCTAAATTTTTTAATATATTATATCCAGTTTTACAAATTTGGAAAATTTTGTAGTAAGATTAATTTAAAATGAAACTCAGTGTAAAGGGATTAACTTAAAAGTCACAGAAAGTAAAGGATACCAGATCATTTTCAAAATTGACCAAATTTTATTTTAAAAGATTAGAAAAATTAAATTTCTGGTCTTTGTCCAACTCTGTCCAATTCTATTCAAACTTTAAAGTATTGATTAAGAATCTCTTAACCATTTCTGCTTAAAATCACATCCCCCTACGTCCCCCTTTCAAAGTTAAATCAATTCATTCAGCTGGCATGCCATTGCCATGGCAATCCTAAATTTGCCGCGCATCCTAAATTGCGCGGCAAATTTACGTACGTTCCCGTACGAAAACTTTAAAATTTAATTTAATTCCACGAAAATTTAATTTAATTCCACGACAAATTTAAAATTTAAATAAAAAATTACAAAGACATAACTTTTGATTAGAACATTGTACATAAAAAGTTGGGTATTCATTGGAAAACCTATTATTTAAGCTATGCAATTAACAGTTTAATTATTTGTTCAGTACTAAATTTCTACAACGTCAACAACAATGTTTTAATTTGAGACATCATCTATGGTTTAAGGTAAGAATTTTTATCTTATTCAACTTTTCCTATATTTCTATTAGCATTAAAAGAACCAAAGAACAATTTCAGGCAAATTATTAACAGCTCTCTTTCGGTTGCAAATATTTCATGCTACTCAAACAAAATGTAAATGTACAATTTTCATTTGATAGAAAATGCAAAAAAACATGCTTAAAAGCTTTTACAATTTTTCTTTCAGATGTTCTGCCACAAAAAGGCATTGAGTTGATTGAAAACGAAAATGGGGACGTTTTTCAACTCATGAAAGAGAGTAATGTTGCCATTACGGACAGAAATGGTCAATTTGAAGTTATTCAAGAATATATTTTTTCTGTACTCAGAACTTCCAACATCTGCAGAATTAATTTCCATTACTTGGAACCAAAAATCAACTCCTTTTTGTCTCACGTCATTGCAAGATACAGGAAATGCAACTACTGTTTTGAAAAATTCATGAAAAGCAGTGCTTCATTTCTTGACAACACTTTCATCTCAAAAGAAAGCCTTCACAGCTTAACATCAGAGAGTGAAGCTAGCTCATCTTCATCAATGCTGCCTATAAAGAAGCAAAAAGTTGGAAGGAAAAGTAAGCCATTCATTTTACTCCCATGCCTGGATCTTTGGACTTTGGAGCACCAGTTTTGTATTTTGGCGTGAGAGCTTTTTATAGCCTTTGTCACATTGGCCACAGGCAGAACATCAAAAAATGTCGAAAGCATTTGACACCAGAGGAGAAAGCAAACATTGCAACTACACAAGAACATGTGAAGGCACAATTTGCAGAAAAACTAGGCATTATTGTTGATAAAAGACGGGATGGCGGTGCCGGAACAACCACTACTTGCAATGTTGCCCGTATTGCCTTTGACAACCCTGCAATTACAGCAGAGATTTGTAAAATTCTAGTTAAACTTGTTGAAAACATTGCCACAATCTGGGGAGCACTATCAAGTGGATTTGCCATCAATTTAACAAAGTTTGCTGAACTTTGCAAGGAAACTGAAAAAATTTATTTTGATGAAGAGAATGGCTGTGATTGGTATTTTCTACCTCCAACACTTCACAAAACTTCCAAACATTGTATGGATCTTATTGATAATTGCCCTCTTCCAATTGGACTCACAAGTGAAGAAGATTCTGAAGCCAACAACAATTTTTTGAGAAACTTCAGAATGTATCATACAAGAAAGTCTTTATGGGCACATGGCATGGTTGATATGTTCCACAGGCTCACAGATTTGAGTGATCCAAAGGTTCAAGGATTATGTGTTGGAAAATGCCAAAGATTTAAAAAGAAGAGAAAACTGCCAGCAAGGATTGTTTCTTTACTTGAGTGTTCTGAACCAACCACACTAGTGACCAGGCTTTCGTGATGATAGTGATTCAGATTAAGTTTTTGGACATTTTAAATTATTTTTAATTTAAAAATAGTTTAAAATTCTTGTGAAAATGAAAACAACTTATTAAGATTCATTATTTTTCTAAATTTTTTGAGTGATAAATAATTTTTCATTGTTATTCTAAGTCAAAAAAATGAAATGAATTGAACTTAAACTTTATGAAATTCTTGTGGAAATGGTTACAACTTAATGTAATTAATTTTTTTTTCACTATATTATGATAATGATGTTTTCAATGTTATTCTATTATTAAAACTATTACATTTTAAGTTGTCAAAAGTGTTGAAAACCAAATAAATTTTATTTATTTAAAATGTTTCATGCTTAATTTTTTATATTATTACCAATTTTAACTGTTTTGGAAAGGAAACACAATTAATTCGCAATTTCAAGCATTTCTGACCACTGTGAATCACATTGTGATTTAAACCATTTTTTCCTTGAAAGCAGTTAATGGTTAATGACAATGGAACAACATTCTGTTGTGGCTGTTCAGTTCTCTTACAACGTTTTGCATATAGGGTAATGCGGGGCAAAATGAGACAGCGGTGCAATACAAGACAGTTCGCGTTTAACATAATGCCAGCCCTACAAATTATTATTTGCAAGATTTTTAAAAGTGCAGTTGTGTTCAAAAACTATTTTGTGTCAAGAAAAATATATTGAGTCACTTTGAAATAAAAAAGTTGAGTAAAAGGGGAGTCATTTCATCCCTCGGCTTCGCGAAAATTACGAATTTTTAAGAGTTGTTATTATATTTTTTCCTAGCCTTTTTTGATCTCACTGAGTGGAAAAGCTTTTTATATTTAAAGTTTTTTTTTAATTAGAATCTTTAGGCCTTTTCCTTTCATTTCCATTCTTTGGTATTTTATTTCTTCAATAAAATAGTCTGAAAATTAGGCTATTCGATGCCAACATGATGCGGGGCAAAACGAGACATTCTGTTTATATATTTTTTTGCCGATATCTAATATTATGTTTATTTATTGTTTTACATTAAAACAACAACCAAAGCAAATATTAATATTTACATGCTGTAGATTTAAATTTATTATACCGTATTTACTTACTTTTTATTTTGTTAATTAAAATGTTTAGTTGTTATCCAATATAGAATTACGTTTTATATTTTGTTAACTTATATTTAAATATAATAAATATTTAATCAAATTGAAGCAAATAATTGCCTGATGTTTATAATTACTATGTTTGTATTTTATAATCTTATTGTATTGTAATGTAACAAAGTAAGTAGTATATATTATATATAGTGAGTAGATTATAACATATGTTATTGCAGTACCTATAAACAAAATACAATGAATGTTATGCGTGCTTTAAATACATAAGTTTAATATATGCATGTATGGTTTTATTAGTTCTTGTAGTGGATATATATATATATATATATATATATATATATATATATATATATATATATATATATATATATATATATATATATATATATATATATATATATATGTATATATATATATATATATATATATATATATATATATATATATATATATATATATATATATATATATATATATATATATACACATAAGTGGAGTCAATTTCCAAAATGCGCAACCTGGGCTCATTCGGACTGTTGTTTGTTTCAAAATACTGGTTAAGCAATATGTGATTTATGTGACTAGTGACAGTTTGATTATAGCTGTAATATATTATAAAATGTATTTCTTGCTAAGTTTTTCAAAAGATTTTAACTAAATTCATGTTAATGACAATGAACGAAATTGATTTAAAGACTCCAAAATGGTCTTTAGATTTACTATTAGGGGTAGTAAAAAGGTTTTGAAAATTTTATATAAAAAAAAAAAGTTTCTTTAAATATTAAAAAATTTGAAGCAAAAAAAATTATAACATCTAAAGCTCTTGTTTGGACAAAATACGCTGATAAAATCATGCTTAATTCCAAATAAAAGAATTCAAATAATTTGTAAATCGTCTAAAACAGTACACTATATACGAATTGTTGTAAAAAATTTAACATCAAAAGTTGGTAATTACATGATAAACACACCCAAGTCGTGGCGCATTGGTAGCTCACTTGCCTCAGAATCAACGGAGCTGTTGTTCAAACCCCACCT